CTTGTATAGGGGTCATCAAACACAAACGTTTAAGTTTCAAAATGCACTGTGTTCTGGGTTACTCTCTTATCTTTAATTTCTTAAATATACATGATGTCCTTTCACCAGACCATTATATTTTTGTTTTCAATTTACTTTGTTTCAGAATCTAGACAAAGAATGATGGGTCTGATGAAGGGGGGGGTGGTGTCTTTGTGACTTTACCTCACTTATACTATAGATATTACATATAATAGGCTTTTATGTAGTATATCGGATATTTAAAGTATGAAATTAGACTTATTTTCCTGCTGCAGATTAAATTAATCTTCTGTTTGCGAAAATAACAAACAAATCTTATCGCAAGCTTAACAATGTTTTTTAACTGTATATTTTGTTGTCGAATATTTACGAATTGCTGGATTAAATATTAGCATAAAAACAAATTGTTAGCCTTTATTTACTCATCTAGTGTACTTGTTATTTAAAGGATGGTGGTCACCGTGCCGTGTCCTGTTCGATGTGGGACTCATAGTGTTGTATACAATCCATGTAAAATACATTCTCTATCTACATGAAATTCAAAGATGTGCTGCACAATGACCACTGCCCTTCAATCAATCTGAGATTGGAGTTTGAGGCTATAAGAACCTGTTATCACTGGTGCAAGATAATATCTGCTAGAAACAGTACTCCCTAACTTCACTGTACTTTTCACATGGTTTTATACTCAGGATGATTACACAATGTTGATTTATCATTCATGGCCAACACTTGTCCTAATTGTGGCTACTTAATTCACAGTGGCATGTGCTTCAATATTGAAGGCCACTTAGTTTAGTCAAAATGATTCAAATCTTCACAAGATGCTTATAAAAGTATGAGCTCACATATTGTACCGGTTTTATGTACCACTAAATTGGTATGTGTTGCTAGTCTGTGATGCAAGGATTAGATATCTTTGTCTTTTTACAGAATATGGTAGAGGATGCTACTACTCTTTCTTCTGCTATATAATTGCTGTGTGTTTTCAGGTACTATTATGTAACATGCTATATGTGGCCTACATGTCTCTATTCAGTTACTATTCATATAGACATGTAGGGATAAGCACATAACTGTGTCATGGATAATATTTTCACTTCACTGTAATGTCTGTATGTATATCAAAATTCTGTTTAAGTCATTGATGTTCACTGCAGTCATTTTGTCTATAGCAATTGTTTTCTTATTTCCTTGTGTTATTTTATTTATAAATAATATGAGGATATCATATACACAAGCTCATCAGTTCATCTAGAGTGTGGATCATTACAAAGTTCACTGTGACTACTTATTATCTGACTGAACACTTAGCGTCATGCATTACATCATTAATGGCATTAAAATAGTCTTTATGCAACTGTTTGGTGTATGAACCCAGGAGACAAAGGTAGTCTAACCAATTGGTGTATGAACCCAGGAGTCAAAGGTGGTCTAACCAATTGGTGTATGAACCCAGGAGTCACAGGTGGTCTAACCAATTGGTGTATGAACCCAGGAGTTAAAGGTGGTCTAACCAATTGGTGTATGAACCAAGGAATCACAGGTGGTCTAACCGATTGGTGTGTGAACCCAGGAGTCACAGGTGGTCTAACCAATTGGTGTATGAACTCAGGAGTCACAGGTGGTTTAACAAATTGGTGTATGAACCCAGGAGTCACAGGTGGTCTAACAAATTGGTGTATGAACCCAGGAGGCAAAAGTGGACTAACCGACTGCTGTTTGAACCCAGGAGTCAAAGGTGGTGTAACCAATTGGTGTATGAATCCAGAAGTCGCAGGTAATATAACCAATTGGTGCATGAACCCTGGAGTCACAGGTGGTCTAACCAATTTGTGTATGAA